CCGAGTGTCTGTGGACCTCGGCTGCTGCTATTAAACTCGCTAAAGATCCACAAAATGGCCTCTGTGCGCTATGCACTTGAAAACGAATGCTGTACTGTGGCAGAGTTCATTTCTGCTGGGATTACTGGTTTTTAGCCCAGCCCATGGATGTTTAAGTGATGAGAGAATTCAAGGGTTTATGCAGAAACTACTACGTGAACTACCAACCTGTCAACGACTTTGCTCAAGGAGCCCCTGCTCGACGTGCGTTAATTACAGAAATTGTAATTAACGCATGGAAAGCGGTACGGACCATAGTAATTGTGCGTTTTATTAAGCCAGGCATCGTGTCTTATGGATCTCGGGATGCCGAATAAAACTTTATAGTTGACCCGCCAGAAGAGTCAGAGAAAATATCAATAACGAAGAAGAATAAAGATTTTTAATCTTGTTTTATAATGTGTACATTTTTGGGGGGAAAAACTGTTTTTCAAAACTATTATAATTAATGCTAACCAATAAGTTTATCCATTGCGGAGGGGGTGACACCCGTACGTATTTTTGTCGTGTTAAGAATGCGGTCGTGCTGTTGCATGTTTGGCATCGTTGCGTTTTATTCGTCGAATCCGGTACGGAGAACGTATCGTGAGTATCTATCAAATTTGCGGAAATTTAAAAGTGACTGTTGGTTCATGGATGAATTAATTCAAAAATCCCACCAAACTTTTATTAACTATGGCTAATATTGTCCAATAAAACGAAAGTTCTGAGCTGAGTGGTCATTTTGGCGATTTCAATACGTAAAGGCATCTTTTTCAGCCAATCGGTGGCCTCAATGGTATAAGATGGCTACATAACCACATCTCCGACATATCAAGTCGGAGAGACCAGCGAAATTATGGAAATACCCTTACCGATCATAAGACATTCGCATATTTTACAAATAACACTCAAGCCCCGACGCCTCTGACCCAAAATGAGTTTGAAAGATCTCAGACCGGCTAACACCAACCGATCTCGGGAGTCAGCAACGCGGTCGTTCCGGAAGTCTGTCGAAGAGATGAAGGCGTCACCTGGGGGTACCTAGAAGCATGCATGTGGCGCGACAACTCGTGGCGCATCTTAGCGGCTGTTGTCGGCAAATTTGGATTGCATCTCGCCTTCAGGAAGGCTGCAAAGGCAGCTATTGGCTCGACACTCAGTCATACAGTAGTACCGACAGGCGAAGAATCAGTTGCTCGAGAAGTTCCCTCAGCATCGGGCCACTATCGAGAAGCCTCTGCTCATGAAAGGACAAGTTCTTGAGCGCTATTGCCTGTAGGGGGGTCAGGAGCATTTGTTAACAAAGCTCCCGCGTGCACGTAGAAGGTCCTCAAGCAAATGATCGTCTATCTGTATTTGACTGCTGTTACTCCGTCAGACTACCAAAAAAACTGGTGATGTGCCTAGTTTTCATACTTAAGTCAACCGTGTCCTGGATCGAGTCGCTCAAACGGCTGGAGAGACCGAGCGTTTGTGGTCGGACGCGAAGGTGCACAGCATACCAACGGAAATAGGGTGTGTGCTCATTGGATCTTCGACCGGGGGAAAACGAGCATGACAACAACAAACCAAACCGTCGCGTCTGTGTTCAATACCCTTGGTAAGATCATGTAGTCGCACGCGTCTGGAGCAGTCGAGACCCTGAACTACCGGTTTCGATTCATTTCTTAGATTTATTTGACTCCGGTACGCTGACGAAAATTCATTTCGTCGTGTCGGCTCTATTCAGCTCTTCATCCGGTCTGGAGACGCCACATCACAACGTGAACGAACGAGTACACGGCACTTTTATGGCGTACCTGCAGAAGCCGTACCCTCTGTTGAAGGATCTTGTTGGGAACGGTCCAGCAATCTAACACATTGGGGCGTATACACGCGACAAAGCCTTCTACGATAACGATTTGATATCATGATCATCGTACCCTTGCTGGCTGCACAAGCGCAAACGCCATGACAGCGCCGCTCCATAAAGAACCTCAAACAATTACACTCAACAGCCCATGCATCTTCACCAAGTATCCTCGATTGAGCAGTTAATTCAGGTTAAACAGAAGCTCGACATGCGGCTCTCCGAACGACCAACATTTGGGACTGCAAACCGTCTAATTACTTGCCATTATATCTACGTGTCGCTCCAATCAGTGCTTGTTCTTAATCCTCTTGTTCTCACAGTACACTCTCTCATTTTCCCTTCATCGCCGACCAGAACATACCCGTAAACCGTGTCCTCGATAAAGCCAGTAAAGAAGGCCATCCGTTTGGGGGAGGAGTTCAAGACGGTGTGCGCAACTGTATCCAAGCGCTACACGGTTCGAGTTAGTGATGGAGCCATCCCTTCCTGCGCCTTACCGTAATTTCAACCGTTGCTTCCGTAGCCTTGCTTCCCGAACAATTGATGTTCTGATCGCCTTGCTGGAGAAACGAAGCAAGCGGCGATACAAACTCAACGACCTCCTCGAGTGGCTTGCCCCTCCTAGTCCCGCCAGCGAAAAAGAACCCAAAGACGAGAGCAGCACCGACGATAAGCCAGAAGAAGAGAAGCAGCTCTACGTCCGCAAGCTGCTAAATGGAAATGTCAGAACCGGAAGACGTATTACTGTGTGTATTGAGAGTCGACGTGGG